AGAACCAAAGACGAGAAGTGATTTGTCTAAGGTTACACTCCTCACTGGGGGCAGAATCAACATTAGAATCTAGACTTTTCTGTATCCTTTACAGAACCTAAAATACTTTCTGATAATCAAGTTCCATATTTATCTTTTTTTATGCAATTTTTTAATGTTTATTTATTTTTGAGAGAGTACGAGCAGGGGAGGGGCAGAGAGAGAGGGAGCCACAGACTCTGAAGCAAGCTCCAGGCTCTGAGCTGTCAGCACAGAGTTCAATGTGGAGCTCGAACTCACAAACCGCAAGATCATGACCTGAGCCAACGTTGGATGCTTAACCAATGGAGCCACCCAGGTGCCCCTAGATTTCTCTTTTTTCTACCTCTACACTGGTGACTTCTCATTACTATGCTAATCAGATTTGCCTACATATACCTTTTATATAGTCTAAAACATGTATTACATAAAAACAAGTATTTACGTAACTGGCCTCTTAAAAATGCTTTGTGATTATTACTGGATTGGTTTTATTCCACTACTAAACTGGGAGTTTCCTGGGGCAAGAATTGTGCCTTATTCCTATCTGTATTGGATGAAGAGAAGTACCATACACTTAAGCAGACACACATTTCTTCACTTCAAAGTCACCATGGTAGGAAAAGAGCCAAAAAAAAAAAAAACAAGGCAAGCATCCTGATTACTACTTCTAGGTTAAGCATGGGTTTGAAGAGGCCTGGAAACTGGAACACAGATTATCAATCATCTTGACAGCCATCCAAGACACTAATGCTCCCGCTTCTACCAGGCCTGAATATCCTAAATGGAATCAAGGCAAGTCAAAATACATGAAAATTAATAAGCAAGTATATTTACAGCAAATTACAGTTATAAGAGGAAGTGGAAAGCAACTGCAACACCCACTGTCATATGTTCTATTTCCTCAGGAAAAAACAAAGAAGGAATAGATAAATCAGAGGCTGCTGGGAAAACTTATGATATTCTCAATCTTAAATTTGATTTGGTTTTTCTGGTTATTACTGGGAATAAAAATAAGTTATATGTACAACTTTGTTTACTAAGTCTTTTATCATTCAGTTAGCTGCTGTCTACGTTTAAGAGCATAGATAAATGCCCAGAACTAAAATGTTTCATGTCCTTGATGGGCCTACTCAGAAAAGCAGCACAGCTGAGCCACCAAGAACTATCTCCGGCCAGCAATCTGGAAAAGAGCACATGACTGTTTTTATCCTGTCATTTTCAATCAGTAGCAGACTGCTCGCTGCATGAAAGTTGGGAGCTCTAACATTCGTTTATAGACTTCTCCCCAACATTTTCACCTAGTGAAGAATGTGAATTTAAAGTATCTCTTATAGGGGCGCCTGGGTGGCGCAGTCGGTTAAGCGTCCGACTTCAGCCAGGTCACGATCTCGCGGTCCGTGAGTTCAAGCCCCGCGTCAGGCTCTGGGCTGATGGCTCGGAGCCTGGAGCCTGTTTCCGATTCTGTGCCTCCCTCTCTCTCTGCCCCTCCCCCGTTCATGCTCTGTCTCTCTGTCCCAAAAATAAATAAACGTTCAAAAAAAAGAAAATTTAAAGTATCTCTTATAGGGGCACCTGGCTGGCTCAGTTGGTAGAGCATGTGACTCTTGATCTCGAGGTTAGGAGTTTGAGCCCCACTTTGGGTGTAAAGATTACTTAAAAATAAAATCTTAAGGGCGCCTGGGTGGCTCAGTCGGTTGAGTGTCCGACTTCGGCTCAGGTCATGATCTCACAGCTCATGGGTTCGAGCGCTGCGTCGGGCTCTGTGCTGACAGCTCAGAGCCTGGAGCCTGCTTCACATTCTGTGTCTCCCTCGCTCTCTGCCCCTCCCCGACTCACACCCTGTCTCTCTCTCCTTCAAAAATAAATAAGCATTTAAAAAAATAATAAAATTTAAAAAAATAAATAAAATATTTTTAAAAAGTTTTTTTTAAATACCGATTCAAAAGGCTCTTTTCCTCTTTTAAAAAATATATCCTTACTAGTTTTTTTATCCACTTATTCTAGGTTTGGGAGATGTTTGTTACAGTCTTCTTTATTAATGTGTCTATTTGTCCTTTTATATCTTGTAGTTTTGCTTTATGGAAGTTGCTGCTCTACTACAAGAAGCCCTCAGCTTACACAGTTCCTACATGCAGCATCTTCAGTTAGTATGTCTTAATTTAACTAATACCCGTCCCTCAACAGCACAGTGCAAATTTCACTTATAAAGGTATATTAACTGTAAGTAAATGCATAAAGTGCAAACTTTGCAGCTAGCTCTTCAGTCCACAGATCACTACACGACAGACACACGTATGATCAGTGACCAAGCGTGTCATTTCTTTCAGTCTGTTGGTGATTGGATATTGCACACCTGTTTTCCAGTTCAAGAGACAGAGAGCAAAGCATGTGCTTGTGCTGTCTTGTCTCCCAGTGATAAGCTTATGTGACATTTTACAAAAATAGATACTCAAAAGAGGGAATTGGCCAACAAAGATAAAAGTATAGCACAGAAACTAACATGATAATGCTGGAAGTGAAATTTGGGTCATATATAAATGAAGTTATAGAAGAAATGTAAACTGAGGAATTGATACCACTGCTGTTTGAGAGACTCTAGATATAGAGTCAGAGGAATTTAATGAAGGCAAACATCAATATAAGTAAGTGGTTATGACAAATGTCCTGGAAGAAATGACAAGGCAAAAAACTTCATATTAAAGGAACTCTTACAAGTATTGTACAACATTGAAAACACAAAGGATAAAATATCAGAAGCTGATCCAAACTTAGAAACATGACAACTTCCCAAAACAGAAAATTCTAATGCTCACTCCATATCATAAGTTATACAAAGAGAAGGCAAGCACTTGACTTTTTTTCTTGATAAGTTTTTTTTTTTAAAAGAAATAAAACACTAAATCTCAATGTACCAACAGTTTGTTTCAACCAAAAATTTTAAGGGCTGTGAAACAATTATAATCTTTCCCATTGATTATTAAGCTTGCTTTGTACAGTTTCAGCTTGCATGGCCATATTTACAGTAACTCACTACCATGCAAAGTTAAGTTCTCCCCATATTTAGTTCTGATTTCCCTACATGCTTACCGGCCCATTATTGTCTTAGTGGTATCTTGTTGTGATTTTGATTTGTATTTCCCTAATTAACTAATGATGTTGAGCATCTTCTGACATACTTATTGTCAATTTGTACATCTTCTTTGGAGAAATATCTATTCAAATCTTTTGCTCTTTTAAATTGGGTTCATCTTGTTATTTTTTAACTGGATCTAATTGCTAGCTCATCTAATGGGTTTTTTTGTTTTAAATAGGTGACTTAGGCCTAAATCAAAAAGCTGACTATGTCAACAGCAACTGGCTGGGCTATGTAGAAATTTTAGTGTTTTAGGTAGAATAGGGAAAAAGGAACCAAAGCATTGCTTAACTCTTTTTTTTTTTTTAATGTTTATTTATTTTGAGAGAAAGAGAGAGAGATGGACAGAGCGTGAGCAGGGAAGGGGCACGGAGGGAGAAACAGATTCTGAAGCAAGTTCCAGGATCCTAGCTGTCAGCAGAGCCTGATGCAGGGCTTGAACTCACGGACCATGAGATCATGACATGAGCCGAACTTGGACGCTTAACCAACTGAGCCACCTAGGCGCCCCTCAAAGCATTGCTTAACTCTTAAAATAACTGAGGAACTGAAAGAACCCAAAGTGGAACTCAGTGGATGTGGGCCATCCAAAGTGAAAGCAGGGTGGAATGGGGTGGTGAGGGTGAAGAAAGGACTTAAGAGCAGGTAATACAAATTCAGTCACAGTATAAGTCAAAAGATCCTATGGAAGACCAAGACAGCCAGAGTCATTTTATGGTCATTCTTGTACTGAACTCTCCAACAGGAGTAGAAGCACCTTGAGAGCAGGCACAGACGCTTAATCTGTTAGTAGTCAGTAAGATGAGGGGTGTATGTTGATGTATTCATCATTCTCTGTACATTCTTAAATTTGTTAAACACGTGTTCAAAAAAGGCTCTTCAAGGATCAGGACTGGCAGCTCACTTTCAAAGGTCAAGCGGTCTACTGACACAACCTGAGGGAAAAGGCTAAACTGATTATCAGAACCGACAAAATCCTGCCACGTGAAGACTTGTGCCCCAGGCTAACAGACACAATGACTGGGGACAGGGAATAGCAACCGCAGTCTCTTATACTGGTTTTAAGCTCTAGAGTGCAATTTCACAACTAACATTCATTCAACAGGCACTGACGGAGCACACACTACGTACAGTGCTGAGCGCTAGACACAGATGAACGACCTAAGCAGTCCCTGTTCCGTCAGGGTTCATAATCTAATAGGTTCGGTGTTGCAAGGATGGAGGTAATCAGCCTAGCTGTGGGAATAAGGAAGAGAAAGCAATGCATTCTGCTTGGGTCTATAGCGAAAGGACCAAAAGGTGCCATCTGAGCTGGGCCTTGAAGGATGCTGCAGCTGACCCAGAAGGGCCAATTCTGAAGTGTCACTGCCTTGTCCCCTGGGAACAGAAAGTGTCATATCGACCTCAACTGACTCCTATAAAAACCCTGAGGCAGATGTTCTCATCAGTAATCCATTTCACAGAAGGAGAAACTGACCCACAAAGCAAAAGGCGAACCCTAGGGCCATACTGAGTGCCAGGGGACATGCCGGGTCCAGAATCGAGGTGGACAGATACAGCGCAGTTTCGAACTCTGCCGGGATTCTGAAACCTGTAGAGCACCGGAATGTGGCAGGGGTCTGGACCCGGAAGTAGGGAAGAAGTCTGAGAGCGACCCCTCCAACCATTTGCCCGGTTCTCTCAGCCACGCCCTCGGTCCCACGCTTCTCAGTCACTCACCCGCCGCTAGGCGAGAGGAAGTCGGTGTCGTCTTCGTCTCCCGCACCGAACATCGCGGTGCCTTTCACCCAGCCGCAGGGGGGGAAGTCGGAAGGTTTTCGGGGCCTTTCCCCGCTGACGTCGTGAAATGCCGCGGCGGCGTGCTGCTTTCCGGCAGGACGAACTCTCGCACGGTTGATCGGCTGGGAGGGGCCTAGGGGCTGGAGAAGGTGGGGGAAAGGCAAATGGGAGGGTCTCGCAGGCACGCGCGCCCGTGTCGTAAAGCTTCTCCAGCCTGCAGAGGCGGTGAAATTCGCGGGAGCTCCAAAATCCTGCGCAGGGATTGGCCAACGAGGCAGGGGGCGGGGCAGGGGCAGGAATCCGCGGCCTTGGTGGCTGTCGTGGACACGTCGAGCCGGGCATAAGTGGAGGGGGCTTCGGAAGAGTCGTGCGATTGGTGACGGGTTAAGGTTCCAAGAGGGAGGTGCCGGTGGCAAGACTGGATCTGGAAGGTAAGCAACCCACCCCACCCCCCCGCCCTCTCCCACCTTTGGCACAGGAACAGCTCTTTCGCCTCCCGGACAAGGACCCTCCATGCGACTCTAATCTGCTCTGCGAAAGGAGAAAGGGCCCGAGACTGGCAGACTGGAGAACTGCGCTTTCGGTCAGGCCCCACAGTGACATAGGGAGAGTGACCTTGGGGCAGGGTGTTCGGTGCCTCACTTTCCCCGTCTACAAAACGGGCTTGACGTCCCTACCGCTTGTGCCCTGTGGCCGACCTCACTGTTTATTCAAAGGGCTATTTGTCCACTAATTCCATGTGCCGGCTGGTCAAGAAGCTTTTAGACCTCAGAGGTCATCGAATTCAATCCCAGTCCCCTCATAATCCCAGAATTTGCAATAGGGAAACGGAGTAATAAGCCCTTGGATGACTAGTCCTAGGTCACACAGAGTAAAGGGCAGGCAGACTGGGGCTGGATCCCTCCTCCTCTCTTGGTTCAGGAGTTAGCAAGCTGATGGGTGAGCAAGAACCTTATCAGGTTTTTAGCACTGTGCACCTTTACGGAGTGCTCATTGCTGGACTGAGGCATACATCTTTAGAGAATTCCCCTCTCGATGCAAGTGAGGTGCAGAAGAGCTGGGATATTCTGGGGGTGAGTGTTGGAAAGGAGAAAACTTTAGAAGCGCAAAAATCCCAGTCCCAGTCTTGGTCTGGGTTTTGCTTCGTCTTCTTGCCACAGACCTAAGTCAACATCAGTTGTTGGGGACTTCTCTTTCTTCAGTTTCCACCTTCTCTGTATCTTATGTAAGTGTTTCTTTGACTAACCTGGTAGAGTTACTGAAACCATCTCTGGGTAGGCCTGATTTAGCCAAGGTGTAGATAAGCAGATAATGTAGCGTCCGTTTCTTAAACAGTTTTTTTAAGTTTATTCTGAGAGAGAGAGCGCAGGAGGGACAAAGAGAATCCCAAGCAGGCTCCACACTGTCAGCGCAAAGCCCAATGCAGGGCTGAAACTCAAGAACTGAGATATGACCTGGGCCAAAACCAACAGTCTAGACGCTTAACTGACTGAGCCACTCAGATGCCTCTGTAGCATAGCATCCATTTCCATAGATCTCTTTCACTCAGGGCTTCTCCCGAACAGTTTAGTATAACCGGTGTCCCTTACCTGAAAGTTTTAGTCTGTTAACATGATACTGAAGTGAAGTGATTGATAGTGATTCACCTCCTAGAGAACTTCCCACCTCTTGGTACTTCCCTGGTTCTGCTTTTTATTATAGTTTGTGTACTTGTACTAAAGTGTGAGCTCCTCAAGGGCAGGGACAGTTTTATTCATCTTGAGGTCACCTGTGCCACAGAGTACTGTACCCTCTTGGCAATAATGGTTTCTTATTCTTTGTTACAGTGAGTAATGGAATTCATCCTTGTTCCCATTCCTTAACTTATGCTCTTAGGATTTTTTGCACGTGGGACCCAGTGAGCCCAGCAATGACTCTTGCCTTCCAGAAAGATAGATATGTTGTACTAGCTATGAACAGTCAGGGTTGCTTCGTCTCTTTTGGTAATTGAAGATGATTTTACTATTGTTTAAAGCTCTAGGGGAGGGGAAAGAGGGAAATAGAACAGCTAGAAATATTATGTGTTACTAATTTTTGTTAGGATTCCTTTGTTAAACTGAGGGATGGGGCTGTGGTCTGCTTCCTGTGTTTATTTTAAAGATTAAGATGGTTAAAGCAGTGAAGGCTGACAGTGTGAAAACAATGATGCCACTGGAACCTAAGCACTAGAACTGGAACCCTTTGCCATAGCTCTGTTTAGAATATGAACTTGGCTATCTCTCAGGGAAAGAAAGAATGAAATGCATAAGTAATTTACATAGCTCTTTCTAATTCCTCTTCCTCATACTGATCATTGTCATTCCAGCACTGAAACATCAGAATAGTGTTTTATTTCTTTTTTAATGTTTATTTTTTTGAGAGAGAAAGAAAGATGGCTAGTGGGGGAGGGCAGAAGGAGAAGAATCCAGATATCAAGAGCCAGAAGCTCAAACCAACTGGGCCACCCAGGCACCCTTGAATAGTGCTTTTAAAAAATGCTAAAGGATTGGGACACCTGGGTGACTCAGTCGGTTGAGCAGCTGACTTCAGCTCAAGTCATGATCTCACTGTTTGTGAGTTTGAGCCCTGCATCCTGCTCACAGCCGTCTGAGGAGCCCACTTTGAATCCTCTGTCTCCCTCTCTATCTCTCTGCCCCTCCCCAACTCACACGCACTAGTTCTCCCTGTCTCTTAAAAATAAACATTTTTTTTTTAATGCTAAAGGATCATTTGAGTGCTTATCTTGAATTCTTGAGTTGGGAATGTTTTCATGCAGGGTATTTAAGTAGCCTTTTTAGATAGGCAGGAACATAAAATCTGGATCAACATTTTTGAGATACCACAAACATGCATGCCTAGGTCACCATTGTGGGAACACAGCTGCTAGTTCTGATCAGCAGTATGAGAAAGGGGAAGATAATGGTAAGGCGTCCTCAGTAAGATTGGGTACACTAAAAAGCCACTGTCTTCCTGAACTGGAATATTGGACCAGGAATCAAGAAACCTGAATTCCCATCCCAGCCCTTCTAACTCACTCTGAGCTTGGGCCAGACTCCCTAAACACTTTGGGAGTGAATTAGACCCAGACATCTATTAAGTACTGTTGAGGATGCAGAGGTAAGTAAAGCACAACCCTCATCTCAAGTGTGAATTAAGCATTTTTGTTTGTTTTAAGTACACAGTTTTTAGGTGTATTTATAAAATGGATTGACCCCTGAAGATTAGCTAGGAAGTGGCAATTTTAACAATTCCTTTCAAATTCTCAGTAATTTTGCCATAGAGATGGTAATTCTTGTATATAAGCACACCCATACTAGTCTACTAGTGAAAGCATTGTAAATATTAAACTATAAAAACTATTAATGTTTAAAGTTATAACCAGGTTAGATCATAGGTACGGTGATAGTGATATGAATTGAATGTAAGTTTGGGGGAGTTGGTATAGTGTTCTTTCTGTTCAGTCACTGAAAACAGAAGAATGTCAGAACCCAATTCAAGAAATATCTGAAAACCTTCTATGTGTAAGGCCCTGTGCTGGGTATTGGCAAGGAATAGGAAAACGAGTAAGTCATTGCCCTCAAAGTGCTTATGGTTGAATAGCGGGGATAATTGAAGTATACAAATAATTTAGAAGACACAGCAAAGTAAGTCCCATAAGTAGAAATTAATTATTGTGGGATTTCAAAGGAAGAAGAGATCATATCTGGATTGGTGGAGTTTGTGGGTCTAGATAATGGCCTTTGAAGATGACTGGGGTGGTTCCTAGTGAAATGAGGAAGTAAGGTTTTCCAGGTTGAGGGGGTGGCTTTGGCAAAAGCAAAAAGGCAGGAAAGAAGGCACGAATTTCTTTTTCTTTTTCTTTCTTTCTTGTTCTTTCTTTCTTTCCTTTTTAAAAAATTTTTTTTCATGTTTATTTATTTATTTTGAGAGACTGAGCATAAGCAGGGAAGGGGCAGAGAGAGAGAGTCCCAAGCTCTGTCACTGCAGGCTCCATCTCGAACCTAGAAGTCACAAATTTCTTATGGGACAAGAGTTGCCCTTTTATCTGACGCAGTTAGGGCCAATAGTTGGCCAACAACAAAAATAAGTTAAAACAAGGAATCATTCAGATATTAGTTACACACAGATCTTAAACATTTAATTTTAACTTAAAGCATAAACATCTTTTTGCCATTCTTTAAAATAAGCTGTTTCCGGGCTGACAATGTGTTACCTGCTTGGGATTCTCTCTGCCCCTCCTGTGCACACCTGCTTGTACATGCCCTCTCTTTCTCTCAAAATAAGTAAGTAAATAAAAAAGAATAAGGCTTTTCTTGGGACACCTGGATGGCTCAGCCCATAGAGCACCCAACTCTTGATCTCAGGATCACGAGTTCAAGCCCCTCATTGTACGTGGACCCTACTTAAGAAAACAATAACAACAGAAACATTTAATAGTTTTCGTAAAATAAGCCTTTTCTTAGGGTGTGGGTCCCAGAGATCTGCAAACTACTGCATGGCGGCCAAATCTTGTCCTAGCCCTCTGTTTCTGTAAATAGTTTCATTGGAACACAGCCATGCTTATTTATTGCCATATTATCTATGGCTACTTTGACTTACAAAGTACAGTTGTCTGTATCTGTGTGACTCATCTTTATCTAGTCTTTGAAAAGCTTTCAACTTGGTTTTCGTAGAAGTAACTACCAGAGAGTCTATGTAGTATAGTAGCTAAACTCTAATGTTTGGAGCCAGATTGTTTCGCCATTTATTAGTTATGCAGTCCTTGAGCAAGTTGCTTGGTTTTCTCCTTTGGAAAAAAGGGACAGTGACAGTATCCAGTCTCTAGGGATCTTGTGAAGATTGTATGAGTCAATTCATGTGGAGCACTTAGAACAGCATCTGGTAGGTAGTAAGAAAATATTAGCTGCTGCTGTTGTTTTTCCTCTTCTCACTTACATTTAATTGCTTTACATAATACTTTATTAAATTATATTCTTATAACAGTAAATACAATTGGCATAAGTTGATTTCTTTTTTTTTATTAATGTTTATTTATTTTTGGAGAGAGAGTATGCTCACATGCCAGTGGCGGAGGGACAGAGAGAGGGAGACAGAGAATCTGAAGCAGGCTCGAGTCTCTGAGCTGTCGTCAGTGCAGAGCCCGAGACAGCCGGATGCAGGCTCCAACCCACCCACTGTGAGATCATGACCAGAGCTGAAGCCGGATGCTTAACTGAACTACCCAAGGCCCCCAGTTGATTCATTAAGAAACATACCTGACACTCTTGATAAGCACACAAATTCCCTAAGGGAATCCCATGATATTAGAAAATAGCCAAGGGGCACATGGGTGGCTCAGTTAAGCATCTGACTTCAGCTCAGGTCATGATCTGGTGGTTCGTGAGTTCGAGCCCTACGTTAAGCTCTGTGCTGA